TGCAGACACATTATCCCGCGTTCCCCTACAAGACAAGACTAGCGAAGAAGATATTCTGTTGGACGAAGGTATGAATTTATTCGTACAAACCATTGAAGAAGCAACGCCAGTTGGAGACAAATTGTTAAAAGAAGTAATAGAGGCGCAAAATCGCGACGTCACTTCAAATATACTTCGGCAGTACACACGCGAAGGATGGCCGACGCATAAATCAAGCGTAAAAATAGAAGCACGAAAGTTCTTCGAGCACCGGGGAAACCTGTCAGAATTAAAAGAGATTTTAGCTTATGGAACAAGATTATACATACCAGAAGGACCATTACGAAAACAGATGCTCGAGCGGGTGCATACAGGACATCTGGGAATAACTCAGTGCACAGATAGAGCGAAAGAAGCCATTTGGTGGCCAGGCATCAGTACCGACATCAAGAATCAGATATCACAGTGCAAACAATGTTTGGAACATAGACCACAGGTCGTAGAACCATTATTGCCAACGCAAACTCCAGAGAGGCCTTGGCAAATAGTAGGAACTGATTTATTTCAACATAAAGACAAAAATTATATCATCTTTGTAGACTATTTTTCCAGGTACTTTGAAATGGCCGAATTGAGAAGTACATCATCATCAGCGGTCATTGAAGTCGCAAAGAAGATTTTCGCCAGGTTCGGCGTGCCGGAAACAATGCGGGCTGATAATGGGCCACAATATAGAGAAGAATTCAGACAATTCGCTAACGAATGGCACTTCAGATTAATAACAAGCAGTCCATACCATCCACGAAGTAACGGGCAAGTAGAGGCAGCGGTAAAAATAGCAAAAGCCCTGCTATTAAAAGAAAAGGAAGTGGAACAGGGTCTGTTAGTATACAGAGCAACACCGTTGGAATCAGGAGTTAGCCCAGCAGAATTACTGATGGGGCGGAAGTTACGGTCCAATATTCCAGTGAGAGAGAGAGAGAGACAAGCGAGAGTCTACAGCCAAAATGGACTCATTTGAAGCAACATCGCCAGAAGATGCACGACAAGCGCATCAAGATCAAGCATATATACGACCAGAGACACCGAACACATAAATTAAAGGAACTGGAAGCCGGACAGAAGGTGTGGATCACAGATCGAAAGACATACGGCAGGGTGTTGCGTCGTCGAGAAGAGCCAAGATCATACGAGGTCGAAACGCCAACTGGTACCATCCGCAGAAATCGAGCGTTCCTAGTACCCGTCCAGGGAGACATAGAAGACAGCAGTTACGATCAATTCATCAGCGAACCAGAACAAGGAAACCAATCCGGATCAGCAGTAGAGAAAACAGTAGAGGTAACAGCAAAGGGAGCGTCTCGAACAGACAGCCAGAGCAGAGAACAAGACAATAGAGAACCATCCACACCGCGGAGATCAAACAGAGTTAGAAAGTCCCCAGATAGATTTGATCCTTCCAAGTATCGTAAATAATCGTAAAATACGCGGTAGAGAGAAAAGAGAAAGTAGGACATCTTTCAATTTAAACAAAGGAGGATGTTGTATCGAGAAGTCGCGAGGAAAGAATCGATAGATCGAGAGATCGGGAGAACCAAGACGAGAGGGTTAGAGGTTGGATGTAAGATTATCGACGTGTTATAATAAAAGGGTTATTATCACGAATCCCGAACGTTACTGTTGAACACCCGACCTTTCCGAAGTCTGACAAGGCTTAACACACGTTGTCTGTATGATTGCCCTTAGCAATAGCTGCCCCTACCCCTGTTTCTGCATTAGTACATTCTTCGACTTTAGTGACAACGGGGGTGTATTTAATAATTCGATTTAATAAGTTTTTAGTAACTACTAATATAAGGATAGTTTTAGGATTTTTATCTATTTTAACTATATTTATATCTGGAATTATAGCAAATTTTGAGAATGATTTAAAAAAAATTATTGCTTTGTCTACATTAAGACAGTTGGGTATAATAATGATAATTTTAAGATTTGGGTATAGATTAGTAGCCTATTATCATTTATTAATTCATGCAATTTTTAAATCTATGTTATTTATAGGAGCGGGCAGGGTTATTCATATAATAAAGAATACTCAAGATATTCGATTATTAGGAAATTTGAATGAGGGTATACCTTACGTAATAATAAGATTAATGATTTCAAATTTTGCATTAGGCAGGGTTCCTTTTATATCGGGATTTTACAGAAAGGACTTAATTATAGATATTTTTTATGTTCATAGTGGGATAAATATAATTATATTTATATTAGTATTTTTATCTTTATTATTAACCCTTTGAGGGGCACATTTTTCTAGAGCACCTACCCCAGATATGATAGTGGTTGTAAGGGTTTTCGCTGATTACGAATCTGAAGTCAGATTTTCGAAATTCAATATGGCGGATCCAATATGGCGGACAAAATTTTCAAACATTAGCAGATAAATGCTAAATGTTGTCTATAAGGGTTTTCAGGGTCGCTGATTACGAATCTGAAGTCAGATTTTCAAAATTCAAGATGGCGGATCCAAAATGGCGGACAATATTTACAAACATGAGCAGATAAATGCTAATTTTTTTATAAGGATCTTCGAAGTCGCTAATTATGATTTCAATGTTCAAATACAACTACAGGACAATATCTGCTAAAGTCCCTTTTATTTATCCATTATTTTGGAGGGTTTATGATTCGATTCGATATCTGACCAAAAGAGAATACAAAACAAATTTGTAAATTTTTTGAAATTTTTACCTCCCCCATATTTGATCCGCCACTTTGAGTTTTCAAAATCTGAGACTCGTAATCAGCGACCTCGAAAACCACCGTGTACCAAATATCAGTAAATTTGTGTGTAAAATGAGTTTACAACCGAATTTAATTTAAAAAGTCTACATTTTTTCATTGTTAATTGTTTATAACTAATTATATACAGTGCTATTCTAAATTTTGAACTGAGAAACTTGTTCACTAAGCATCCAGTGTTCCATTAAAAAAGATTAGAGCGACCTAGACCTTAAAATATTCATGCTATAAAGAAAAAACTGAAAAAAAATAGGTTGCCACTATAGTGGCTTCAGCCCCGCAAAGGGTTAACGGTATCTTATTCCGTTCGATTTTTTTATTATTTATTTTTTAATAGGAGGGTCAAATTTTATAGATGTATATATATTAAAGAGAGTGGATTGGTCAATATTTCTATAGTTATAATAATATTTATAAAGGTTATTTTTGGATCCTTAATAGGGTGGATTTTTTATTTTGATTTTTGTGTAATTTATTTATCTATATTTAATAAGTTATTTATTTTAGGGTGTTGTTTTCTTGGGGGATTATTAGCGGGGTTAGAGCAATAATATTGAGGAAATTTATATGAATATATTATTATATATATTTTTTTGGGAGGGCCCCGTATGTAGCAATTTTTTGCTACAGCACCTTTTGCCTACAAATCGATTGCCTACATGCAATATTGCCTACAGATCGATTGCCTACATGTACTTTTGCGCACAAATAAAAATTTTGGAAACGGAGTTACTTTTGCCTACATGCATTATTGCCTACATGTACTATTGCCTACAAGTATTATTGACTACAGATGTATTGCCTACATGCCCTTTTGCGCACAAATAAAAATTTTAGAAACGGACTTATTTTTGCCTACATGTATTATCGCCTACATGCATTATTGCCTACATGTACTATTGCCTACCAGTATTATTGCCTACAGCTCTATTGCCTACATGCACTTTTGCGCACAAATTAAAATTTTAGAGACGGAGTTACTTTTGCTACATATATTATTGTCTACATGTACTATTGCCTACAAGTATTATTGCCTACAGCTCTATTGCCTACATGCACCTTTGCGCACAAATTAAAATTTTAGAGACGGAGTTACTTTTACCTACATATATTATTGCCTACAAGTATTATTGCCTACAGCTCTATTGCCTACATGCACTTTTGCGCACAAAGATTTTAGAAACCGAGTTATTTTTGCCTACAAGTATTATTGCCTACAGCTCTATTGCCTACATGCACTTTTGCGCACAAATAAAAATTTTAGAAACGGAATTACTTAGCGAATGCAATACGTGACGTAGGGTTAATCACTTACAAACGAGTAGCACTCAAGCTTTGCATGATTGTGACGCACACACGCCAACACGCACGCACGAACACACCCATTCGCGCGCGCGCGC